TCTCTCTCTCTCCATCTCTCTCTCTCTCTCTCTCTCACACACACGCACACAGACACACACACGCACAATCAGTTTTATGTCTGTCAGTCTTTCTCAGTTGTCTGTCCTCCCCCTGTTTTTTTCTGAGTAATGTTTTCTGTGCCCAACTGAGCACCCTTAAGTAGTGTCAAACAGTCGGTGGTTCCTCGTTTGGAGTGCCTACTGCACTCTTAGGGGGGCCGCTCGGTTTGGGATATCTGTGTTGCCTGTCGGTGAGGACGGACGGTCGTCGGAGTGTCTCCCTGGCTCAGTGGGTGGTGGGAACCAACAGTCTACGGGGTTCAATCGTGACATGAGTAGGTCGTGTGCTGCTTTGCTCCGTGTTGGATGTGTAGGTTGTCTTGTCTGCGCTCTGCCGCTGCCTTGCTGCCCGTGCCGCTTGCTTCGCAGGTCGTCCTCGCTGCTCTGCTGCCTTGCCACCTATCCTCGGCCGTGCCTCCCGTGTCCTTTGCTCGCGTGCCTTGTGGTCTGGTGGCCTTGTGGTGGTGCCTCGCGCTTCACTGCACGGTTGCTGAGCTGCTTGTTCGTGCGCCTTGTCGGCCTTCAGTGTCCTTTGCTTGCATGCCTTGTTGTTTGGCTGCCTTGTTGGTGATGCCTTGTGCCTCACTGCACAGTTGCCGAGCTGCTCGTCTGCTTGCCCAGTTGGCCTTCTGCATCCTTTACTTGCTTGCGTGCCTTGTAGTCTGGTCGCCTTGCTAATGTTGCCTTGCACTTCACCGCACGGTTGCCGAGCTGCTCGTCCGCTTGTCCTGTCATTCCTTGCAGTCGTCTTTGGTGATAAGCAGTTGGGCTGCCTCTACTGCGTTGCCTGGTGCTTCGCAGGGTTGCTGCCCGCTGCTATGTCCCGCTTGGGGACAGTCTGCCTTCAACATGGGTCAAAGGCTTCATGACCCAAACCATCAAATACGGATATTCCGCAGATTGTTGAGGGTTCAGCCTCCTGATGAATTGGTGCAACTCCGACGAAACAATCTTGTTATCATCAGTTTTTGTTTTTTTCGGTCTTGTTTCTTTGGGGACTTTGTTTTTTTGGTTTGCCTGTTGGGTGTGTTCACCTCTTGGTCCTGGGGTGCCCTCCGGCCTCCCCCATGCCCTCCATCCTATGTGGGACTCTAAGAAAGCTGGTCATGATAAGCTGCGGATGTACTATGGGGTAGCCTCAGAGAAGGAAAGCGGCAGCGGAGAGCGTTAGTTTGGACATGACCAGGGCCTAGTGTACCACCGTGGTGGTAGGGTGCATGGCATGGATTTGTCTCGGGATCTGATTTTTACACACACACACACACACACACACACACACACAATCATTTTTATGTATGTCTGTTTTTCCCCCTTGTTCTCTATCCTCCCTCTGATCTTTTTCTAAGTATTTTTGTTGATACAACTGAGCACCCTTAAGTAGTGCCAAACAGTCGGTGGTTCCTCGTTTGGAGTGCCAACTGCAGTCTTAGGGGGGCGCTCGGTTCGGGATGTTTGTGTTGCCTGTCGGTGATGACGGATGGTCGTCGGAGTGTCTCCCTGGCTCAGCGGGTGGTGGGAACCAACAGTCTACGGGGTTCACCCGTGATGTGAGTAGGTGTTGTGCTGCTTTGCTCCGTGTTGGACGTCCTCGTATGCGCTCCGCCGCTGCCCTGCTGCCTGTCCCGCTTGCTTCGCGTGCGGCTCTCTGCGAATTGCTGTGTTCGCTGTGTGGTGTGGCCGTGTTGCTGGTGTTGCCTTGCGCTTCGCTGCTTCGCTGCGGTGCTGCTCATCCGCTGGTCGTGCCTTCCGTGTGTGCTGCGTGTGTGCCATGTAGTTGGGTTGCCTTGTTGCCGGTGCCTTGTGCTCCGCTCCACGGTTGCCGAGCTGCTGGTCCGCTCGCCCTGTCGTTCCCTGCAGCGCCGTTGCCTTGCTTGTGTTGTCTTGTACTTCACTGCACGGCTGCCGTGCTGCATTCCTTGCTGTCGCTTTTGGCGTTGTGCAGCCTTGTTGCCTCTTCTGTGTTGCCTGGTGCTTCACAGGGTTGCTGCTCGCTGCTGTGTTCCGTTTTGGATAGTCTGCCTTCAAGAAGGGTCAAGGGTTCATGACCCAAACCATCAAATACGGAGATTCCGCAGATTGTCGAGGGTTCAGCCTCCTGATGAGTCGGTGCAATTCCGACGAAACAATCTTTCATCATCAATTTTTATTTTTTTCGGTTTCTGTTATTTTTTTTGTACGTTTTTTGTAGTTTGGCTGGTTACTGTTTGCCTCGATGTCTTTTCCTTCTTTGGTTCGTGCTGTTTGTTTTTTGCCCGCCTTGTGTACTTTGTGATGTTTGGTGCTATGTGTGATCCCCTTTCACGTCCAAGCTCAAGACTATTTCAGTGTTACCTTTGAAGTGGTTTCACTGATGGTGTTCGTGATTATGTCACATTGGGGATATCATATACATGTGTGTTCACACACACACACACAAAAAAAAAAAAAAAAAAAAAAAAA